CTCATTTATTTTTAATAGCTGTTATAACTGATTCAACGAGGAAAAAAGTCTCATTGGCTGCGTTAATTAAACCATGGTATTCACTTTCAACTCCATCCACCAATTAAAGTCTTTGGATGGAAAGAGCAATGGCTCTTTCATGCTGGAAAGTGGAAAGCATTGCGTGTTTATATTTTTAACAAATGGACTCAAAATCCACTGGCATTCTTTATTTGGACAATTTTCAAACAGTTTAGAAATTTTTATTTCCATATTTTCAGGTATGCAGATGTAAGCATTTTTTACAGGTGATACATGGGTTTTGAACAACAAAAATCCCATTTTTAAAATGTTCTCCTCAAAGCATGAGTTTCTTTAGGAAAGTAATAATGTTAAAATGAGTCACGTTTCCCTTGAAGAGCCGAATGGATTTGAGTTCATTGTTTGGTGGGTATCTGCTAGGTAGCAAACCGCCAACAGCCACGTGTCATTATGAAAAGGTCAGCAAATTTGGAACACTTGTCTTTTTGTGCAAGAAAACCATATAACTCATTTTTAAGTTTGATGGCTCTTTTAAGAACTCTTCTAAGAGACAGCCAGCAAATCTCCATGCAGTTCAGAAGATTGTCATAGTCACTTTTCTTCTGATTACAAATCATTGTATAAGCTTGCTATATTTTAAACTTTTTTTTTTAAAAAAGAACCATTTCAACGTATCCTGCTGTGCTTTATGTATTTCTGGATTTACCTTCTAACTGCAGGAGCCTGCAGGGAATTGGTTTCCCATGCGTTCCATCCCTGCACCTCACCCAGAATCCTTTTCATCGTGAAACAGCCACTCTATCCCTAAGTACACTCAATTTTCCCTGTAAGTGGTGCTTTTATTAAAGAAGTAATTTACTGTTTACTCCATATCTTTTTTCCTTTATTGGCTCACAAAAATGTGGCTCCTCAGGTATTTCATTATAGAAACAGCATCTAGGAAAATCATATTAGAAAATCTATAATTTAACTATTTAGCCAAGATTCTATAGTGTAAAAATTGTTCAAACACTCACATTCCCAGCTACATCTTCTCTGTATCTTCCAATGTGCTCGCCACATTGTGTTGCCTGTACTATTATTCTTGCTACCACCAGCTACCACCCCAACTGCCCTGTTTCCAGGCTCTCTGAGACAAGGGACGTGTGTGCGTGTGTGGTGTGTGTGTAGATAAAAGTCCTGTGACATGGGTCTAAGGGGGAGCGTGTTGGTGTCCTGGCAACCACCTCCCTCCCATCACTTCCTGCAAGGCCAAGCAAAGGGGAAGCCCCCAGGGAAAGGGAAATTGGTATCTCATTTTCAGCTGGATCCGTGCTTAGGCAGTGAATTTGCTGACCTGCCTTGCACCTGTCTAAGCACAGGAAAACAGAATGGCTGCAGGGATTTCTTGTTATGTCCGCCCGGATTCACATGGTTTCTACCTCATGGAGAAGAACTCATATTTTGAGTAGGAGAGGTTTCAGCTCTGACATTTTCTTCTTGTTCACTTGCATTTGCATTATAAGCATCAGCTTCAATTGTGGTTTCCTTGCAGGAATCTTGTTAAGCCAGGTATCCATTTGTAAGAGTTAATGTAGTTAAAATCTGGTGATGTATTCTGTAAAGCCACTTAGCTAGGTACATGTGACTTGAAACACATCACAGCAGAAAATCTTTAACAGCATTAATTTGAGGCAGCTTCTGGGCATGCTGAGGTGGAAGGGTGGAGAAACCATTCACAGCAGGAGCTTGTTTGGAGGTTCTAGCCGGGCAATCTGGGTTCTCCCCACCCCTGGCTAGTCCTGGAACTTACATAGGATGTCCATAAAGTTTGTGTGCAATTTATTATGATAAACTATTTTAAATTGCACATGAACTTTATGTCTACCCTGTATATGAGACATATGTAATTACACATAAAATTAATATGGTATACTATAAGTAATCATATATGACAAATATATAATTGCATATAATTAGATATATTTTACATATCAATTATTATGTATTATACAAATATATTTGTTAATAATGTATTATTATATATTTTCATAATGATCACATATCAGTATATAGTTATAGTAAATAATTTATAATTATATTAATAGTGATTGTATTATTATTATTAATATAAATAAATACTAATACAATATATGGATAGATACAATAGACTCTGTTACCTAGAGATGTTATTTACAAGGCAGATTTCTGGCAGTGTTAGTTTGCTAAGGGTGCCAAAACAGTAAACAACAGAACTGTACTGTCTCATAATTCTTCAAGGCAGAAGTCTGAGGTCAAGGTGTGGGCCTGGCTGGTTCTTCTGAGAGCTGGGAGGGAGACTTGGCTTGGAGCTGCGGCACCCTGACCTCTGCCTTCATCTTTCCATGGTGCTGCCTCTGAATATATGTGTCCAAATTTCTCCTTTTTATAAGGACACCCGTCATGTCAGATTAGGGTCATCCTACTCCATATAACCTTGACCTGACCCCTAACTAATTATATCTACAACAACTCTATTTCCAAATGAAATCGCATTCTGAGGTCTAGGGGTTAGGACTTCAATATATGAATGGGGGTGGTGGCGCATAATTCAACCTATAGCCCTAGGCCACATCTTAGATCTTCTAAAACAAGATCTCTCAGGGTGAGAGCTTAGAATTCTGTGTGTGTGTTTACATAGTGTGTTCCATTCACCAATGCACAACAGTGGGGTGAGCACGTTGTTTTTTGCAGTTTTTAAAAAAATTGTGATAAGAACATCTAATGTGAAATAGACCCTCTTAAATTCTTAGTACACAATACAGTATTGTGAGCAATAGGCACAATGTTGTACAGCAGATCGCTAGAATTCATGTTTTTAACAAGACCCCCCAGTGTGCCTCATATGTTCCCTCAAGTTTGAGAACTACGTGGCCTTCCAAGGTGACCATGTCCCCTCTCCCACCTCAAATACATAGGGATTCAAATAAAACTATACATTTGAATATGTAACTTGAGTTCAAAAGAAATGAAAGGGAAATTTTCATGTGCCAAAATGGAGAAATCAGAACCAGAGAGCTAAGTATTGGCCGATGGCAAGGCAACCCATAGGAATAGACAACAGGGCTCGGCGCCTGTGGCTCAAGTGGCTAAGGCGCCAGCCACATACACCTAAGGTGGCGGGTTCGAATCCAGCCCAGGCCTGCCAAAAAACAATGATGGCTGCAACCAAAAAATAGCCAGGCATTGTGGCAGGTGCCTGTGGTCCCAGCTACTTGGGAGGCAGAGGTAGGAGACTCGCTTGAGCCCAAGAATTGGAGGTCGCTGTGAGCTGTGATGCCTCAGCACTCTACCCAGGGGGACAGCTTGAGGCTCTTTCTCAAAAGAAAAAAAAAGGAATAGACAACAGTATAGTGTCATAGCGTTGAGGTGGGGGTTCAAATCTCCTTGAAGGAGGGCGTAGGGCCATTGTGTGCTTGAAGTAGAAGAACTGGAACTAACCCTTTGTCATGAAGCTTGGAACCATGAACAGATGCCTTGTTAGGGAAAAGAGACCAGATTTGCTCAAATGTAGTTGAACCTCTATAAGGGGACCACTTATGTGTGGTCCACTGTAACAAACTGTTCAACATAAGGAAGTAGGCCTACTGTACTGATACGTACATATGGTGCATGTCTGGCCTATGAAAATTAGGTCAACTTCAGGAGGTGGTCAATATAGGGAGGTGGTCATCTATGGAGGTTCTACTGTAACTAGAAATTTGAAAGACTGAAGAACTATTGGTCTTTCACATCTGCTGTGTGAATTCACAGGGAGAAGGAGCCTTTTCTAGCTGAGGTGCACGCAAGGAAAGAGAACTTGGGCTATGGGTGAAGCATGCATCAGGGCTCATTCTTGAACATTGGGGCAGAGCTAGGATCTGATAAGTTCTGCAGCCTGGAACATGCAAGGTCTGGACACCTGAGCAGCTCAGAGAAAGGAGCCTTGGGATGTGGGAATAGGTCAGGGGCACAGAAAGGAGGGGAAGGGGTGCTAAAGGTGAACTCAATACATTGTTCTGTGCAGTTCCCCCTTTAACCCTCCTAAGACCTGCCCCCCCAGCACACCCCACCTACCCATTCTCTGGGGCTGCAGGGGGAGTAGCAAGGCAGACTTAAAGAGCTGTTTCTGAGCTGGCAGGGAAGCAGCTGGGCTGTCACAAGCCCAGGCCATCAGTGCCAGAAGAGAAGGGCCCTCACAGGCCATATGTGACTCTGCCAGGCCCAGTTTAGGGGACCCAGGGTGTCTAAAATTACAGACTCTTACTCATTTGGTGGCCTAATTTGAGAACTTGTTTGGTTTAAGAATGAAAATTGCTGTGACAATTATGATATCTATATTACATGATGGTTATTAATAGGTAGCAACTAACTTCCAATTGTTCAGTGTTATTTATCAGGCACTGTGCAACTGTAAACCTATCCTGTCGGGTCCTCATGGCAATCCTGCTACATAGATCTCCATCCCACCCTGGCTTGGAGATGAGAAATCTCAGGCTCTGAGAGAGCATGTAATTTGTCTAAACCAAGTTCATGACCTAGTAAATAGGGAAGCCGAGATTCAAACCCAGATCTGTCTGACTTCTACATTCCTATGTTGACCATGGCTAACTCCAGGGTGTTGATTACAGATGATTTTTATTCTATTCCTTATTCTTTTCTGTGTTTGCCAAGTTTTCTCCATTAGGTGGAGAAAAGTTAATAACTATAAAAAGAATAAAACAACCAAAAAATGAGCCTTTGGAATGTGTGTTCAGGAAGAGGTGATAGTGGGCAGGGTGAGGTCAGGCAGGGTCGCTTGCCCTGGGCCCACACCACACCCAGGGGCCTGGCTTACAGAGCCAGAATCAATAATACTTAGGTTGCTGCTGGTATTTTTTTCTCAAACCCAGGACAGGACATATTGTTCAGGGACAGATGAGAGAGGCTCAGGGAGATGTGAACTTGATCTTGAAAGACCTCTCCCCTCTCCCTTCCCACAGGTCAACCCCTTCAGAGACCGAATCTGCAGAGTGTTTTCTCACAATGACGTGTTCTCCTTTGAGGATGTGCTGGGCATGGCCTCTGTGTTCAGCGAGCAGGCCTGTCCCAGCCTGAAGATCGAGTATGCCTTTCGTATCTATGGTGGGTGCAGTGAAGGATGGGGGATGAGGGCAAGGGGGGAAGTGCCACAAATGCTGTACTACATCTGGAATCCATCAACATCAGTCACTGACAGACTGGTGCTATCTGGTGCTTGCCTGGGTGTTTGTGGGTATATGTCATGCTTTGCAAGTACTGAGGAATAGAACACAACTCATTGAGAACCGCAACTCCAGTGGATAGCTGCCCTCCTCTCCATGTTGTCACAGGCTAATGTCATCGGTGTTAATATCTGGTGGTAGCATGTGGGCATGTGAGAGAGAGGAGAGACAGTGGGTACTCCCTGTGGCTATAAAGGATTTATGCTTGTTTGGCTGGAGAGGCACAGGGTGGGAAGTTAAGAAAATGTGAACTAGCTAAGCCACTATATGGCTAAGCAATCTTGGACAAATCATTTCACTTTTCTGGAGCTCAATCTCTCTCATCTTTAAAATGAGGCAGTTGAGAGAGATAATCTCTGAGGTCCTTTGACATTTTTTGGTCTCTGATGCCGTCTGGAGCAGTCATAAGTCTCTGCTAAAGTTCTGCTCTTCACCAGGCAAATGTCCTCTTAGCACAGCTGGGATGCATGGAATTCTCAAAAGGAATCAATCAAAAGGAAAGAAACAAAGAAATCTTGAGAAGCCTTCAAACAGAGCAGGTATGAGGCTTAAAGTGCATCATGATAACTCTTTGGCCCCAAAGCACTTGCACAAAGACTTGCGCCTTTCAACATCTCACCTGCCTTCTTTTCTTGCCAGCTCCTTCCCTGTCTCCATGATAGACTCCATCTTATTTATGCCTCACCCAAGCAGACTTGGATAAAATGGAGTAGAGGGATTTTAAGCCAGATGGACCTGTGAGGGCTCAGTTTTCTCATCTGCAGAAAGGACTTAGTAACATCACTGTATCCTACATGTTCTCAGGTTCAGCATCCAGGAAACACACATGAAATCACAGACTCCCCTCCTGAGAATGGCTGAGGAGGCTCCTATCATATTGTTGCTCCTGTAGATAGTAACTGTAGACTCTAAATTAATACAAAAATCAACTAGCTGGTGACACTGGAAAGCTACCAAAGCAGATAGATTCTAGAGCGCTTTGACACTTGCAAGAAGAAAATGGTACTGGATAGGTTCTGTCCCACCACCATTTTTGGTTTTAAACTTTTTTAGCCTGATGGTGGCTGCTTCAGCGAGCAGCATTGTGCAGGCTGATAGAAACACTGATGCTTCCTGACTTGAAGAGCCAGAGAGTGTGAGGCACCCACAGCTCCAGCAAAGTGAGGGGAGAGTCTGTGAAAGAAGCAAGAGAGAAAGGGAGTCCCAATTCTGTGTATTAACTGTGCCCAAATCTTTCTGATCTCTATACCAGAAACACAAGGGCAGACTCAGAGCAGCTCAGCTAAGGGTAAAAGCATTGAACTGAGATTCGAGATGCTACTGCATTTTAACAAGATCTATGAGCGACAGGGTTTATATTTTGAGTCCAGCCAATTACCTGATAAAACAAAAAATTCAGCACTCACTGAAGGAATGCGGAGTCTCCACAATAAAACATTTATAATGTTCAAAGTGTTGTCCAAAATTATTCAATATATATATACACATATATTTTTTTAAAAAATGTAAGCATTATCAAGAATAGAGACTGACTGACATGACCCAGATGTTGGAATTAGCTAGGAATTTTAAAATATCTATTATTACTGTATTACTCAGGATTTTCCAGAGAAACAGAACAAATAGGATGTGGGGGGATGTGTTTATATATAGAAAGAAAAAGAGAGCAAGAAAGAGATTTATTATAGGAATGGGATCATGTGCTTATAGAAGCTGAAAGCCCCATGATTCACTGTATGCAAGCTGAAGAACCAGGCAAGCTGGTGGTGTAATTCATTCTGAAAGTCTAGGAATCAGCAGTATCAATGTCTGAGGACAGAGAATATGGATGTCCCAGCTCAGTAAGATTACCAATTCAGTCTTCCTTCACCTTTTTGTTTTATTGAGCCCTCAACAGGTTAGACAGTGCTCATCCACAATGGTGAGGCTGATATTCTTTACTCAGTGGTTCAAATGCTGATCTCTTCCAGCAACACCCTCACAGACACACCCAGAAATAATGTGTTACCAGCTATCTGGGCATCCCTTAGCCCAGTCAAGTTGACACATAACATTAACCATCATGCTAACCATGCCCAATGATGTGGGAAAAAAGTGTTCATCTCAAAAAGAGAGGAAACTTCAGCAGAGAAATAGAAACTATAAGAAAGAATCAAATGGAAAATATAGAACTGAAAAATAAAGTATCTGAAATAAAAATTCACTGGATGGGCTTAACAGCAAAATTGAGATAATAGAAGAGTTTGGAAACTTGAAGATAGGTCAACAGAAACAATCTAGCTGAAGAATAGAGAAAAAAAATATTGAGAGGAGAGAAAAACAGAGCCTTGGGAACATGTAAGACAACAGGAGGGTCTGACATACGTATTGGATTGGAGTCTCAAAAGGAGAGGAGAATGAATGAGACAGAAAAGACATTTCAAGAAATAATGGCCCCAGATCTTCTAAATTTGATATAAGACACAAATTTACATGAGTTCTAAGTAGGATAAGTACAAATGCACTTACATAGCCAAATTCTATCAGCTTTGTAGGCCCCACCTGTCCACACCAGTCTTCCTTCTTCTTTGCCCCAAGTATTTCTGAGAGTCTCCAATCATCAAAAAGGAGTTTAAGCCCACTAGCTGATATGCTTCTCTGTTCGGCTCCTACCACCCCTGGCAGTGCTCTTCTGGCCAAGGCAGCTGCTCTGGGACAATGCTGGTCCAGGCTCTGTGCTCCTCTCAGCCAAGCCTGCAGTTTGCAAGTCATAAGAACTTACTACATAAAAGCAACTGATAAGGGACAGCAATATATTCATTTTCCATTGTTGTATAATGAATTACTACAAATTTAAAGGCTGCAGAGAAGGCACATTTATAATCTTAGAGTTTCTGTGGGTAGCAGTTTGGGCACAGCATTGTAGGGTCTTCCTGTTAGGATTTCATAATGCCACAGTCAAGGCTCTGGCCAAGCTACCCTCTCATCTAGAGAGTGCCCCTGGGAGGAATCCACCCACAAGCTTGCTCAAGTTGCTGGCAGAACTCATGTCTTCATGTGTACAGGACTTAGGCTCTCAGCTAGAGGCTGTCCTCAGTTCCTGTCACAAGGGCCTTCCAACATGGCCACCTGCTTCCTCAGAGACAGCCAAGGAAATAATCTGTCGAGTCACCCCGTTGGCAAGAGTCTTATATGACAGTGTGGTCATGGAAATGATGTCCCATCATTTTTGGCAAATTCTATACATTGGAAGTAAGTCACAGTTCCCACCTGCAGTAAGAGAATGGGGATTATACAAAAGCATGAACCCCAAGAGGTGTGGACGATGGGAGAAGGGTGCTAGAGTCTGTCTAGCACCAAGCAAGGAAGGGAAGAGGCCTCCCGAGGGCCTAGGGTACCACGGGAAAGGGCTCAGGAAGAGGCAGTGCTTTTCTCCTCTCCGTGGTTGCCTCTCTCATCTCTGCTTCTCTCTGTGAACCTTCTCCTTCTGCACATCAACTTTTATGCCTCTGTGCTCAGGGGTCAAAGATGACTGCCCAGTCCCCCGCCATAGTCTGCATGTCTCTCTGGGACCACTCACAAGCACTTTCAGCTCTCCCTTCCATTTCCTCCAGAGATGCTGACTGGCCCTGCTGCGCCAGTGATCTAGCTGCTCCTGGGATGGGTAACTGGCCTTTCCCACCAACTGTAGTAAAAAAAAGCAGCAGAGTCACAGAAACGAGCATGGCTCCCGAGACCTGCCACTTGGGGGTGGGGACCCATCTCAGTAATGGCAGAATGTAGGCTGGGCTGATGTAACAAAAGATGTCTGCCTCAGCTGCTCTTCCCGGGTTTCTTGAGCTAAACAGACAAAGGCACCCAAGCCCCCCGGGAGCTGGGATGACAGCAGGTTCCCTCTGAACTTCAAGGCACAGTAGCTAGATCACTCTCAGCTCCGAGACAGGGACAGCACCCCTGGTCCCGGGAGGTCAGACAGAGCCTTGTGGCAGATCAAGGACCAGACACTGCAATGTCCCTCAGAATGTCTGTGTGTCTTCCTCACCCTTGAGCACAGAGTTTCCTTTCTCCTTGAGCCCAAGTACAAAACTGAAAGCTCAAAACCTTCATTCAATTCAACTGTTCAAGTAGACGCCCAGAGACTCAAAAACACCCAGCCTTCATCAGATGTACTCAGACAAATCCAAACTCTCTTTGGTCTCAGAAGATTTGCTACCTTACAGAGCAGGTAGCGGGGTTAGGGGAGATGGGACTCATGAACCCCTCAGCCTGGTGTCTGGCATGCGACGGCCACATAGTAAATCAGGATGTGAGTGCACTACATCGAAGGAAGAAGAGGAATGACAAAAAGGGACAAGAGCAGGAAAGGAGAAGATGGTTGTGGTGACAGTCATGATGACAACTCTTAGCAAAAGTCCTAAGACCTGGGCGGTGTCTGTGGCTCAAAGGAGTAGGGCGCCAGCCCCATATGCTGGAGGTGGTGGGTTCAAACCCAGCCCCGGCCAAAAAAAGAAAAACTGAAAAAAAAAAAAAGAGTCCTAAGACCTAACTCAGTGCTCTGACCCCTTGTTAATCCAGGTGTAGCCCCTGGACCAGCAGCATTTGCACTGCCAGGAAGTTGATTAGCGCAGAGCCCCAGGCCCCATCCCACCCACTGCATCAGAATCTGCATTCTAACAAGTCCCCAGCAGATTCCTCTGCATCTTGAAGTCTCCGAAGCACTTCTCAAACTTGGCTGCACATTGAAACCACTGGGAGTTTTGTTTTGTCTTTTATTTTTTTAAAATACAGATGCTTGGGACCCAGCTCCAGAGACTTGATGTAATGTATGTCTGGTTTGGGGGCTTTTTCAAAGCTCCCTGGGCGACGCTAACGTGCAGCAGAGTTTGAGAACTGTTGCTCTAGCCACCTCCATTAGTGGGGATGGCATTCAGTTATGTATGACAGCATTCGTGGGTTTTTTTAAAAAAGGCAAGTCTGGAATCAGGCATTCCAGAGCTGAGGCAGCAACGCCAGGAAGTAACCGAGGGTTCAGGCTCCTCCAAGCTTCCTACTCTGCCAATGATAGGGGACCATTGTCCTCATGGTCATGAAATGTTTCTCATATTCATTCTACGAAGGAAAAAAGGGGACAGGAGAAAGGACAAGAACAAAGTATTCATCCACAGGCACGGATGGGTCCATCCTCCTTTCAAAGCTCTCTTGGGAGCACCACCCAGCAACTTCAGTTTATATTCCATTGGCCAGAGTATGTCACATGGCCACCCATAGCTGCAAGGGACACTGAAATGTCATGTATTTTAAGCTGGACATGGTGTCATCCTGAGAAAGAGCTGCAGTTCTGTTAGTAGGAAAGATGGGATGACGACTGTTGGTCAAGAATCTCCCTGGTATTCACCTGCTGGGCCCCGGGTCCCACTTTGAGGAACACTCTAGCTTCCAACTGATAATTCCCCCTCTCTGTGCACCCCAAGGGAGATTTTCCACTGGCAGAGACCACCATCCCAGTGATGCTTTTTTGCTCCCATCAGCATGGCCTTCCCCAGATCTGAGTTACCCCCAGCAGGTTCCAGAGTGTCAGCGGCAGGTCTTTCATACCTGCCCAGGACCTGAGCAGCCACAAGGGGTGTGGCTAGCTGGGGAGAGGCCAAGGAGGAGACCAAATCTCTCTTGGGAATAGCAGCAATTGAGTATTCCCCCTTACTTGACCAAATGGTTGGTTTTTGTGAAAGTTCTGTGTAAACTGCAAGGAGTAAGAATAGCAGAGAGAGATGGAAAGAGTCTTGGGGGGGGGGACCTGAAAGCTGAGCCCTGACTTCACCTGCTCTCCAAGTCTCCTCTCCATTGTTGGGAAACTGCAAGAGGAAGGCTCCAGCCACTCCGGAGTGGTCCTAGGCTGCAGGTCCTGAGGCTGCCGAGGCCATGCAGGCTGGCCAGCAGCCCAAGATACGAGTCCCCTCCCCTCCCCCAGGCTGCTCTGACCTTGCGCCCCTCAAAGCAGAGCAGCTCTCTGAGAGTACATTTTACTGTAGCAAACTGTTCTGCTTCCAGATGGCTTGGGACCAAAACCATGCCATTTGCTGCAGTCTCTGCATACGGGAGTTGGGCCAGCAGGATGCCTGGGGACACTGCAGGTGTCCAGGAGAGGCTACAGAACTTCTCCCCAGCAGTGCAGTGTCACTGCGGCTGCCACTGCCTCCAGGTCCTAGTGTTGGTCCCTCTGCCCCATTCACCTTCTTTGAGCCATTTCCCGTGATAGCGGAGATGGTCAGGGTGCCTCCACACATGTCTTGGGGCTTGGTCTCCAAGCCCTGGGGCTGATAAGCATTCAGCCAGGGGAGGATACTGCCAGTGGAGTGAGGGGACACTTGTATCTTTCACACCCACAACCTGCCTTGGGGAACAGAGATAAGTCTTGGCTTTGCCACTCAAGGACCCTGTGACATCAGTAAACCCTGGGCCTCAGCTTCTCTAGGAGCCCAATATGGCTCCAGCTCCCAGTCATCAAGGTGGGCTCCACAGTCTCTGTGGTTTGCATTTTTAGTGTTTAGCAGTCATCAAGTGATGTAGAATTCCAGGCAATGTCCATGTATTTTCTTATTTAAGCTTCACAGAAGCTCTGTGGAGGTAGTACGATTATTCCCATTTTACAGATTAAGAAACTGAGGCTCAGATAATGAATTAAGATTAAATTTGGTAGCCAATGACAGCAAACCCCAACTAACAATGGCTTAAGCAACAAAGCTCCTGAGATTGCTGAAAGCTATGTATTTATTTCTCTAGAATAATATTTGTCATTTTATCACCCATTCCCAAGGTCACCTCATTGTCAGTATTTGTATTTGTCACTTTATTGCCTATTCCCAGGGTGACCTCATTGTCCTAGAGGACTACACTTTTTGTTTAAAGACAGTCCCAGAAGGTTCCTGCACCTCTTCTGCTCACATCTCATTAGCCAGAACTTAGCCACATGTCCATAGCTAGCAGCAAGAGAGGCTGGGAAATGCAGTGTTCACTTTGGATGATCCCATAACTGGTAAAAATTGTCACTCTGCTGCATTACAGGCAGCGATGGGTGGTTAAGACCATAGACCTCTTAGCTGTTGCCATACTCAGTAGTTAGCATGTCAGCCCTGCAAACTGGGGGCGTTGAGTTCAAAGAACTCACCCGGGCCTGATTAAGAAGATTCAGACCATCTGGGTTGTTTCTGACATACTGCTGTTGTGGAATTTATATCCTAGTGGAGGGAAATACATGAGCTAGGAAGGAAAACAGTGTGTTAGGTGTTAGGGGTGCTGGGATGGGGCAGGAAATGCAGTTTTACACAGGTGATGGGGGATGCCTCAGCAAGGAGCTGGCACTGGATTAAAGGCCCAGGGATGTCTGTGTGAGAGTAGACCAGGGAGGAGGAACCCCCATGCCAAGGCCCAGAGACAGACGTGCACCTGGCTTGATGGCGGTCTAGCAGGGAGGCAGAGAGAGGGCAGGGACTCCTAATCCTGAAGGAGGCAGAGAGGGGGAGAATAGGAAACTCAGCAGGAGAGTCCAGGACAACCAGGAGAGAAGTGTTGTGACCGGACAGGTGGAGGCGGTGCAGTGGGAAGTGAAAAGGGAGCTGGGAGCATTAGCTGGCACCTGGCCTGTGGCATAGGAGGAGGGGTCAAGTGTGACCCGTCAGCCTGATCAGCTGGAGGATGGAGCTGCCCATTTGCTGAGAAGCAGACAGTGGTGAGTGAAGCAGGCCTTGGGGCAGGGCCGGGAGGAAGCACCAGGACCGTGGGCTTGGACGTGGTGAATATGAGGACTCTAGGTGGAGCGAGGAGGGAGACAGGTGGAGACACTCGTCTGCAGCTCGGGGAGAAGCCTGGGCTGGAGAGGTGAATTTAGGCTGCATCAGCACATAGATAATATTCAAAGGCAAGTGGCAGAAAGGAGATTAAGGAGGTAAGCGTGGTTGTTTAATTTCCGCAGGCCTCAGTTTCATCGGTGCTATGAGGATTAAATGCAGTGAAATGTAAAGACCTTTACTGGGCAATGTCTGTTGTGGTGGTGGTTACAGAACTTGGGAGGGCAAGGCCACTGCATTACTGCCTGCCCGGCAAGTGGCCCGGGGGCCTGCCGAGAGCACTGCACATCCTCATCTGAGCATTCAATGCCCCGAGCAGCTCCGCCCATCTTCCAGACTTAACCCCCAACTGTCCTCCCTCCCAGGCCCTGTGCCAATCCTCTGCTCCCTTCACTGGCCTGAACACCCCAATGTTTCTTCTCTATCTCCGGTGTCCCCTCACCTTCTCCAGCTGCCATCTCTGAGCACACCTTTCAGACGACTGCTGTGAAGAGCCACAGTGGCACTGAAGGGATGCAGGATACTTTCTAAGGTGGCTTTGTGAGCAACAGGGTCATATAGACCCTGGCTGTCCAGTGTTGAAAGGGCTTATGCAATGACCATACATTCTTGCCCAAAATAGAGGACCCAAGGTCAGACAAGGGCCAGGGCACCCCCAACTGGTGGGACCATAGGTGGAAACCAGGCATTGTCTTAAAGATCAGGGATACCTGGGCTGTAGCCACATGTTGGAGGATCAAGCAGCCTTCACGCACAGGGGTCAGTAGGACATGTGGGAGTCTGAGGAGCTGTGGTGCCACCCACTGTTGTTCAGCCCAGTGTCCCCATGGTTTGGCAGCATTGTGGCTATGAAGGGGGTGAAGATGTGTGGCGGCCTTCCCGGGTACTGGAGGTTCCCTGTCCTTGCTCCCACCCTTCTTCTGATCACCGTGGCTTGCCTGGGGTGAGGAACAAGGCCAGTGCTTGCCCATTTCTGGTCTCCACATACGAAGAAGGCTGCGCGGGTTGCGGGAAGTATTGCCTCTTGTCCCCCAACCCTTTGAGGGCATAGCCAGAGTCCTGGTGGCCAAGCCCCCTGTGGCCAGGCACACCACTGTCCCTGCTTCATCATGGAGGTGAGGTCATTGTCTGGTTCCTCAGCTACTGTGCAGGCACAGGAATGGGGCTGGCTCCCAGGACCTCTGGCTCCGAATCTGGTGACCTTCTGCTCCTGCTTGGACAGGCCATATAACCCCTCTGTGCCTCGGTGTTCTTTTGGTAAAATAGGACTGATAAAAGGTCGATCGTGAAGATTCAATAACTTAAAATAGGTCAAGCTCTCAGAACAGGCCTGAGCACGCAGTAGGTGCCCACTCAATGCCTATGGTGGTTATCATTCAGCGCACCTTTGCAGCTTATGGCAGCTGCAGTGCCTGTGCACCTGTGCACCTATGCCTTCAGCCTGCCCAGGTTTCACCTGAGTCCCAGGTTCTAGATGCACCTGGGACGGTCGGGCCCTGCTGACGGGAATCTGTGGGATCCTGGCTAGCTCTGATCCTGAGCCACAGCCCTCAGAGACTCCTCAAGGCCACTTCCTGTCCAGTCTCCAACTCCCTCTAACACGGTCCTGGCTCCTCTTTGCAGATTTTAATGAAAATGGTTTTATCGATGAGGAGGACCTGCAGAGGATCGCCATGCGGCTGCTGAACACTGACGACGTGTCTGAGGACCTGCTGATAGACCTCACGAAGCACGTGTGTACCCTGGGCAGGGGCCACTCAAAGCCCCTGGATGGCAGGCACCTCTGGAGGAGGCAGATGGCCACTGGCCTTTGGTGCACCTGGTTCCTGGGGGCTGTCATGGGGTCAGAAAGCTCGAGGTGCCCTGAGGAATGAGCACACCAATGGAGGTGACTGCCCCTCAATTTTTTATCCTTCTTCTAAGGCCCTTCTAGGGTCACCAGAGCACTGTGCCAAATCCACCCAGTCAGAGGGGCCTCCACAGGCAGGAGGGCCAACGACAGCTGGGCAGCAGATGGACACATCCCAACTTCCCCTGCCCATGTTCCCCAGTGCAACACACGGTCCTGGTGTCCTAGGATGATAAGACTGAGACCAGCCCCACAAACCTAAGACAGGGCATGCATCTTTGTTCCTAGACCATGACAATGGTCAGGTGTCTCTGGGTTGAGGGGGAACCAGAAGGAAGATGAAAGCACAAACACTGTTGTCACTACCGCCTCCCTGCCCACCTGGGCCCTTGTAGTGCAGAACCCCTGCCCAACACACCCGGCTGCCATGAGGCACGTGGCCTCTCTCTTCCTTCCCTGTGCCCCATCTCACCTCACACCAGGTTCTAGTCAGCCTCCTTCTGTGCCCCCTGAACAGGTCCTGAGTGAGTCGGATCTGGACAACGACAACATGCTGTCCTTCTCTGAGTTTGAACACGCGATGGCCAAGTCTCCAGATTTCATGAAGTAAGATGTTCTGGAGGGGTAGGGGCTGCCCAGAATAGTGGGGGCAGGAAAAGCTCCCCAGTCTCCCCTTGGCTAAGGGGGCAACTCAGTCTTCTCAAGGAGGATGTGAGTTTCCAGGGCACTTGGCAGCTTCTTCCAGACTCAGTACAACTGAGGCTTCTAAGACCTACCATGGGGTAGTAAAAGGCAGAGGGGAGGACTGAGTTCCAAGTTTTGCAATGACATGAGAGGTAGAAACGCAGAGGCACGCCCCATGAGGTCCCCTGGACTCCAGGCTGACCTGGGTGCTGCCCTGGCCACTGTTAGTCCTACTCTCCTCCCCCCCGCCTCTGGCTGTCACTTGGAATTGAGGCATTTGTGGGGGGATGTGAAGATACCGGTGGCAGAGCTTGTGGAAGAAAATAATTTCTCAGTCCATCTCCTGAGAGATGCACCCAATTCTATGTCAGCTGAGAGCAGGAAAGGGTCTCACTGGTCTTCTGTGGCCCAGACTCCCGCACCTCCCTGGCCTGTAGGATGTCTCTTCTGGATCCTTCCAGTTATAGGAGATATACTTCTGTGGACAGCCCCCCCATCATGCCTATAGGGACCATCAGCATGGCCTTCTGCACGCTGAGCTGGTTCTGTGGACACAGTGCATACTCCAGAGTCTGATTCTGGCCCTGGGTCTCACAGTCCAGATGATAGCAATGAAGTGTGCGCACTCAAGAAATGTTAACAAACCAAAGTAGAACAGAGAGCCAGACCTTAGCAAGCACCAGGCAGGGGCCTGGGCCAGCTTGGTCTCTGTGCCAACGCCTCTGCCTCTCCCCTTAGTCCCCCACACTCAGCTGTATCCTTCCCACCAGCATCTCTGCTTTGTCGGACGTGAGGCCAAACATGGCTTCCCTATAGTAGACAAGTTTATATCTCTTTGGTTTGAATGCCTGTTAGTGACTTCTAAGTAATGTCTCAGCCCTGGCTCCAAATTCCCAGATAGAGAACCCAACTGGCCATGGTTAGAGGTCCAGCCCTCTCCCAAGCACCTGGTTGAGGAGAGAGCCCTCACTCCAGTGTGCTTGCCAAAGGGCTAGGGCTCAGGCGGACCCTGTTTAGAGACCCCAACCAAAGGTAACTCCTCTTCCTCTGTAACAGGCCAGCACGTAATTGAAGCTGGAGTCCCATCTGCCCTGAGTCACTCTTTGAATCACCCCCCTTTCTTCCCATTGATTGCAGTACCATGAGGTTCTGGGACCCTTTGCATTCTGGTGATGCTAAAAGAAGCTTTGGGGTTGGTCTAGTCATGACCCAGAGACAGGGACATGAGACATGGGCCAGGAGGGTGCCTCTAGGACTGCTGTAGGCCCAGGAGACAGAGGGACCCTTAGAACTACAGGCTCCAGGAAGCTTATGGGATTCTTTGCTTCAGCTCCTTTCGGATTCACTTCTGGGGATGCTGATGTGACGGCAAATGTGGCAAATACCACTCCGACAGCCTCGAGGGAGACACTGGAATCCAACTCCCTCCAGGCACTGGGGGTTCTAGCTTGAAGTAAGACTTCATCCCAGGCCCTCCCTCACCTCTAGAATATTGTTTATTAAATAAAACAAAAGAAAAGCCTCAGCCCATCAGTTTATCACTTTTTAAATGCACGATATAAATATACAAGAACTCATTCTAGGGCGTAAATCTTCAACGACACCAATCAAGTTGGGGTGGCAATTTTTCTAAGGGCAGAGTTCAAATCTCAGCCTATGTCATAGCAGAGGACCAGGCCAAACAAGATGAAGTTCACCGGGAAAATGTGTGTCCTCCTCTCCTGGCCCCTGAACCCTCGGCCCTGCTTCTTGCAGTGTGGATTTGCACAGAGTGTGCACATGGCTGTCATTCCACCTGGCACCTGGCTCCCCTCTCCTTGTCCAAGGGAGAAGCCATCTTGTCCCCCTGTGGCACCCCAGGTCTTGGGATAAGACAGCACGTGATCAGAGATCAGCTTTATTCACATTGCTACTTTGCCAAGCACTAGAACAAATTTGACCACCACAGGGACCCTTTGGGGCTCAGCTGGTTGGGGATTCTGAAACACAGAAGCAGCCCCTCATGGAGACCTATCGGATGCCCACCTGATGGGCACATGGCTTTTCTTTTTTATCCTGTCTCTTGCGAGGTGTCTAGATGCTGGCTACAGAGGAAGGGGTGTTTCAGCCTCAGTTAACTTGAACCTTGCTGTGGTCCCTTGCCTTCAGGTCCTGAGTCACACATACAATGGCAATAAGGCCCCAATGCTGAATAGGGTCTCCTTGGTCAAATAAATCCAGGAGGTGCTGGAATGTGGGAAAAGTCCTGTGGTGTGGATGTACACCTGGCTGCAGGTCCCCATCCCAGATCCTGCCTACTGAGGGCTGTCATCCACATCCTGCCCCCTGACCCCGCAGCCTAGTGAAAGCGGACACTCCAGTCCTTCCAAGGCCACCCACCTCCCAGTTGTCCACCTTTTAGTGGCTTCATCCTGGGCCATTTCCTCCTATCCCCTTCCAGAAACAGCTTGAGGGTAGAGGTCAAATCAGCCTGTCCCTGCCAGACTGCGTAGGATGCAGGGAAGGCTGTTTCCCACGGCTGCTTCTCCCAGACACTCCCCCTCTGCAGGGTCCTTGTGATCCCAAGGGCTGCTTTATCCCTGCCAATCATAGGAAGACCAGGGCTTGGGAATCAGCAAGACTTGGGTTCCAATACTTGCCATGTCATCTCCCAGCCATGTGAAGGCAACTTCTTACTTCCTCTAAGCTTCAGTGCCGCTGTCAGTACAGTGGAGATGATAATGGCTCCCTCACAAGTTACTGTGTAGCCTGAGTGACACCAGGTCAGGGTTGACAGGAATTCCTTCCCATCTCAGTCTGTGAAGTTGTTTGAGGCCCACTTGTCCCTCATTCTGAGACCTGGGACGATGGAGCTTCTTCAGTTAGAGTGGGAGTTCTCTATACCTGAGTGATCTGCCACTAAGGCTTGGCTACGTCCACTCCCCAGTTCTACCTGTCCCACCTTGGGGGAGAAGATGGGTAGACCCAATGCATAGCCAGACATTGCTTTTCTTGGCTTGAGGTTCTTGGGTTGAGATTCCCACAGGCCTTTAAGCCACAATGCTATGTGACCTATGTGGGATGCTTTCCTGCTATGGCCAAATATCCCTGGGCCCAGAGGAGAGGTACATAGGATGGTCATGGCTAAAGATTTTATTCTGAGCAAGCCAATTTGGTGGGGGCTGAGGCTCTCGGGTGACAGCCACCAGGTCTCACGCTCTGAACTCAAAGTAGCAGTCTCTCTTCTGCCGTTCTTGTGGAAAGACCTTCTTCCCAGATGGGAAGGTCTGGTAGGTCTTCAAGTTCTCAGGGGATACTCTTAAAAGATGCCACTTGTTCTTTGGGGTCAGTGGAGGCCTGGAAGGGAGGGCAAGGCCAGAGTTACACAGTGTACCAGAGAGGAAAGGTGTCACCCGCCCATTCCCCAGCCCACCTGCCCTGACACTGTTCATCAGCTCGACACCTGATGCGTCACACTGGATTAAGATGACAGCCTGCATCTGCAGAGTGAGGACACAGGCCTCAGATAGGCCCAGCATGGCTTCCAGCCCTAACTGGTGCTAGAAGTGCACACATATAAATGGACTCGGGCTTCTTTCTCCCTCTTTGCTTTGATGTCAGAGTAAGTAAGGTAGTGCTTATGATGCACTCGGCATGATGCCGTACAGTATTGGGCACTCCACACATGTGGTGGGGAATGGCTCTGGTGGTGGTCTGGTGGTGGAATCCAGAAGGGGAGGGACTTGCCTCAGGCCACAGAGCCCATCACTGATGCCCTTACCCCAACCACCTGTGCTGGGCATGGGGCTGTCAGCAGCAGTGCAGCCTGCCAGGAAATTAGGAGAAGGAAAAAAGCTGGGGATTTCTGAACACCCCCAAAGCTGTGGGAGGGGTAGGTCCTGTCCAGAGCAGTCTCAGGGGGATATGTCTCCCCAGGAGAGGCCCATTCTGTTTTGGGGGACATATTGGCTCTGAGCCAACCAAAGCACAAAGACAGCCCAGAGCCGTGGAGCTGGTGACAGAAGATGCTGGTTCCTTTCCAAGCCCTGCCTCAGACCCTGCAGAAGTCCCCTACGTGATCACCAAATTTCAGTTTCTCTATTTATAAATTGGTCCCAACTCTCTTGCAAAGAGGAACTTTTAGAGGCAGTGAAATCTGTTTCTTTGAAAACATTAAACTTAAAAACTCAATTCAATTCAAGTTGGGGAAGGAGGAAGAGGGAGGAGGATTGGTGGGCTCCCACCTAATGG